ATGTTACCAATCTAACCTTCATCGCCCTGGTGAACTCTCAGCACACAGTGACCTTCTGGGGATCATAATTTCAGGTCAGATCATGTTCAGAGTAGCAGCAATTCATTCCTCCAACTCCCCAATACAAAGTTTTCTGGAGGGGATGTCAGTTAATGTCCAATCAAAGTAACAGGAATGTGCCCAAGTAATTTAAGTAAAAGATTCAAAACAGGTACTGGGATGCTGTGGTGGCAGACCGTGGTCCACCAAAGATATCCACATTCTAGTACCTGAGGCCACTGAGTGTTCAATATGCCAAGGGAAAATTAGGGTCAAAGATGGAATTCAGGTTGTTAGTTAACTTTGAGGTGAGGACAATGTGGATTAAACATGTGGGGTCTCTAGAGACACACCAGTTCGTATAAGAAAATGAAGGGGAGAGTGAAGGCCAGAAGAAAGCAGCATAAGAGAAGCATCCCATTGCTAGCTCTGAAGGCCGAAGGGTCCAACAACCAAGGGATACAGGAGGCTGCTATAAGCTGGAGAACCAAAAGAAGTGGATTCTGCCCTAGGACCCTCAGAAGGAACACAGCCCTGCAGAGACCCGGTTTATACCACTGGGACCTGTTTCAGAATTCTGATCTTTAGAAAACCTCAGTTCTGTTTAAGCATCACACTTGTGGTAATTTATTATAGTAACATTTGTAAGCTAATATGAGAATCCATGTCAAAGGCACATTAATAAACCAGGGAAGAACAAAGCAGTGATGCCTAGAGAGCAATAAGGTTAGGATGCTGCTGTCCCCACCAAGCTGGTAGGGGACAGTGCTCCTGATTAGGTTGCAGAGCTTCTCTATGCAAATTTTCACCATGGAGAAGTTCCAGGCACTGGGGGTTCCCTAGTCACCTGTCTTATTCTCATATCCTGCCAGAGATTTCACTTTGCCCAAAGTACCATGAAATGGACTCATAAAGAGCTGAAACAGGGCCTACTGTGGTCCCTGCTGTCCCTCATCTTAAAATGGGACAAAGATATCTGTGGTAGACAGATGGAACAGGCACATACTCAGGACAAGTCCAATGGGAAAGGACTGTGTTGCCACTGGAGGCAAAGAAATGGAAAAGAACAGAGAATGGAGGGAAGGAGGAAGAAAGAGAGAGAAAGAAAGAGAGAGAGAAGGCATACATCGGTGAGCCTTAGTCACCCCAGGTCCCAGGGAATGGAGGAATGGACGGTGACTCCCACATTCACTATCTCTTTGTTCTTAGGAGTCTACAGAAAACCCTCCCTCTCGGCCCTACCAGGTGCATTGGTGAAATCCGGGGAGAATGTGACCCTGCAGTGTCACTCAGAGATCCGGTTTGACACCTTCATTGTGGTTCTGCACAGACAGGGAGTAAGTGAAGCCCATGTGTATCTTGCTGTGAAGCATCATCATGGGCACTCACAGGGAAGCCTCTTCATAGGACCTATGACACCTGCCCATGCCGGGACCTACACGTGCTATGGTTCTCTCAGTAAGCACCCATATGAGTGCTCAGACCCCAGTGACCCTGTGGACATCAAGATCAGAGGTGAGTGTCCATACCTGCCCCTCACCTTCTTTGTGGTGCAGATCAGATATACTAAGGTTTGAAAGCCCTGTGAGGTCATGAGAAAGGTAAGTGTGGAGAACCTATGGAGAGAGGCAGCCTTCGTGAGCATTTTACTGGCATTTTACTGAAAAGGGAGATACAAGTACAGATCATAGGTCATAACATAAAGCACAGGTTTGTGGCCGTGCAAAGGAGTCGTAAGGAGAGATAAACAGAATACGGTAATATGGTGAGACTGACTCAATCAGAGAGAAAGGTCCTTCTCCTGATGATCAGAGATCTGGGGCAGTTGAGAATATTTGTTTCCATTTACCTCTACCAGAGGTCTAACAGAAGAACTAGACATATCATGCATAGACCTGCATTTCAGGGCTGAGTTGGGCTCTTTCATGTTAGATCCCCACGGGTACTGAGGCCTTGGCACAGGTGGTGTGTACAGATGTTCTGTTTAATTTGACATTTCCTCTTTTCATGTGATTAACCCATTATTCATTGCAGAATACCATGGCCCTGGGTTAAGGAGCAGAACACCACTCCCTCTGTGTTTGTGTTCTCTCCAAACTGATTTACTAGGCTGTGTTTCAAAGTTAGTCAGACATTACAGGATGAATGAGGAAAAACATCCCTAAGATTCAGAGGAGAGGTACTGAGAGACTCAGAGAAAGAAAGAAAAGAAAGAAAGAAAGAAAGAAAGAAAGAAAGAAAGAAAGAAAGAAAGAAAGAAAGAAAGAAAGAAAGAAAGAGAGAGAGAGAGAGAAGGAGGGAGGGAGGGAGGGAGGGAAGGAAGGATAATGTATGACATCTGTAGAAAGGAAATAACACTAGCAATCACAGACCTGAATGGAAAATTTGAAGGTACAGACGAGAGATAATGAGAGATGATAGAGATTTGGAAAGAGACGTAGAGTGGCAGAAAAGTGTATACATGGAGATCTGTAATGAAGATACATGATAGATACATAGAGATGATAGGTAGATATAGATAGACAGATAGATGTTGATATATAGATGATAGATGATAGATACATATAGATAGGTAGATATGGATGATGGATGGATGGATGGATTAATGGATGGATAGATAGATAGAAAGAAAGAAAGAAAAGGTACGTACATAG